AGTCAGTCAGTCAGTGAGTTAGTCCACGAGTCAGTCAGTGAGTCAGTGAGTCAGTCAGTGAGTTAGTCCGTCAGTGAACTGTTCAGTGACTCCGTCTTTCGCTCTGAGTGAATCAAGTCTCTTTGGCTGATGAAACAGTATCACGACTCCTGTCACTGAGCAACAAGCAGCCAAAACTCTCCCGTGAGTTTACAGTCGGACAGTCAGTGATCACAAAAGAGACTGTGTGTCTAAAAATAGAGACAGAAACAAGAGACAGGTGGAGACAGACAGACAGACAGACAGACAGGCAGCCCAGGTGTGTGTAGGAGTGAGAGCCTCTTCAGCCCTCTACTTCAGACTGAGAGCTTCCTGTCTGCGTGTATCTGTGTGTGTGTGTGTGTGTGTCTGTGTGTGTGTGTGTGTCTGTGTGTGTGTGTGTGTGTGTGTGTGTGTGTCTTACCTCTGCGATGTACTTTTATATTTCTGCCTGTAAACAAAAACAAAAACAAGAGTTACTCAAATGGACAAATCACATGATGCCGCTCATCACACAGATAATAGATAGACAATTTAGGAACCTACCATGTGTGTGTGTGTGTGTGTGTGTGTGTGTGTGTGTGTGTGTGTGTCTGTGTGTGTGTGTGTGTTCAGGAGAACAGTCTTCACTGAATCACAGCACTGAGGTTATTTAGGGGCTTTGAGAACATGTGAGTGTGAGACTGCTGCACTTCAGTCAACTCTGAACTCTGAGTCGTGATAAACATATTTCTGTGGTCAGTGGATCTTTATTTACAATTTTCAGTTCAGATAAATGTCCATAAAAAAATCCACTAAACTGCATAGACACACAAACGCTCCTAACAACAGAACTTCATGTCAGTTTTCCCTCAGTGTCACAGCCTCTAGTCACTAATTCAGCATATTTTAAATGCTGTCAGTCCATGACCATGTCCCATCTGCTAACATGGAGGGGCGGGTTTTATAATCGGTCCTGGCAGCAGATTCTCCGACCATCCAACAAATACAAGTTCATGTTTCATGTCCCCAAACAGGTGAATGTGAGAATTTATGAGAAATACTGAATCTAACAAAAGCAGAGATAAGTTGGTGTCATGACGATGGGTAATGCTAACGACTTCAGGACTGTTCTCCATTTTGAGTCAGAAGAAAAAACAAGACAATTATAATTATTACCACACGTGAACACATATATATATAATAATTATATAACAGTAAATCTGCAGGACAAACCAAAAGTACAGCCGACGTCAACAAAACACAGGAGTTCATGATTCCATAGTCTTTGCTCACGGCTCGATCCATTAACCGGACCACTGAAGAAGCTCCCGTGGGGTTTGAACATGTGCACCACATAAACACTGCAGTTGATGTCGGGCTTCTGAACACTTCATTTGGTCTGAAATTAGCCAATCATAGCTCTGGGATCTGACCCCGGCAGCTAATCACAGCTGTGGCACGTCTCAGCTCTGAAATCTAACAGCGGGAGCCTGTTATTTCACGGTCGATCGGTGATTGTACACTGGCCTGCGTGGTCGGCTCAGCACTGAATTACAAAGAGCAGGGGGAGGCAGCTGAGAGCGGCTGCATTGTGTTTTTACTTTAGAAAAAGAGACGCATGCTGCAGCAGTGACAGGTGAGGATGCAGATAGTTGGTGAAGAATGAGTCACCACTCTGTCAGGACTTCTACAGGCTCTGTTCCTCCCTCTGATGAGTCGGTTTTCCTTCTCTGTGCGTCTCTGTTATGTCCGTTCACCTCACACATTTTCTTCTGTGCATTATTACCAGCGAGCATGTGAAATATAAATTATTCTTAGATGCATTACTTCTCTGCGTGACTCTTGTTTGCGATGCAGCACCACAGGGTGTTTCACGCTTTTTTAGAAGTTAACTCCATCTACACCGCCTACGTCGAGGCCGAGCGGCCTGAAGGAAAAGCAGAGCATCCATTAAAATGAAACAGTGTGATAATAAACCATCTGCAGCGCACACATGCACATAAACACACACACACACGGTTGTTTAAATAGGAACCAGAATCCAGCACCACAAGAACAAACTGGTTTCTACAGTGTTTATTAAAGTGACTGAAGATATGACAGAAGACTGATATCTGTTCTGTTCAATCCCTCAGAAAACAAACTCTCCACTGCGTGTTCTCTCTTCTCCTCAGCACCACAGCCTATAAATCACAACGTGAAGCTGATTCAAATGAAGACAATGAGCGCAAAATGAATTTAATAAAATATATATATATATATCTCAACATGTTAAAGAATAAGATCTGTCCTGTCCCCTCCTCTCTTCTTCATTATCTTCAGCAGAGTTTGCTGCATCAAAATACTCTGCTGTAACCATGGAAACTAGACAAGATGAAAAAAAGATTTGTTTTCCCTCCGATGCTGATCTGAAGATTCGGATCGAGTCTCATCGCAGAACTGAAACGATCGATCTGGAGATGACGACACTGAAGGGCAGCGAGCGCTTCCACCACTGAACACGCTCACAGTGAAGCAGCCGACTGACGAGATGACTCTGGTTGTTTGGTTCTTTTTGCTGCACTTAAATTAATTCAGATAAAACTTAAGTTTGTGAGTGTTCTCTGCTGCTGGTGGTGTCAGTGGTCTCTCAGTGCTCCAGCTGCTGTGGTGTTAAACCAGACCAGATGTTATTTGATGCCTCAGCAGCCACATTTCTTCGGGGCAGACAGACTTGATGCTACAATAATTCGATATCGGAACACGTCCAGAAATGCTGCTCCTACATTTTGAGTGAGGTGACGTCGTGCGTCACTGAGGTACATCGTGGTTCTGTCGCTGTGTTTGTGCTGCATGAAGGTCGAGCTGCAGAACAGACCTGCAGCAGCACAGGCACCGGCCGAGTCACAGGTCCTGTCTGACATCACACATTAGCTTGATCCTGGTGTGTAGTTTCCCATCTACTTCCCTTTAGCACTGCATGGACAGCTAGCATGAAACATTAAAACTGTTTCTGTTTGACTGCTAATGCTAACAATAGCTACGTAGCGATAGCAAAACCCTGCATCGAGCACCTTTTACATTTCAGAGGATTCGATGGACAGTGAGAAGCTGCAGCCGCTAATTTTACTTTCTATTAAACTCTCATCAACTTGACAAAACATGTCCTTTACACCAAGGATCAGGTATTTCCAGCTCCTGACAGACGAGGACTCAGATTGTTAATTGATTCTTTGGTCGAGAGTGAACTGGTCTAAATAGTCAAACTGAATTTGTATAACTCATATTCACAAATCACAATTTCCCTCAAAGGGTTTTTCAAGGTGCAACATCGTCCTTAACAAGAGTCCAGAAAAACTTCCAACAATATTAAAGGAGGACAGAATGTAGAAATGTCAGAGAGAGTCCGAGTGAGGGCTCCTCTCCCAGAACTTCAATATTTCTAATAATGCTGAGTGGAGTTGATCCTCTGCTGGTTGTACTGAGCGTGTTCACTTCATCTCTATGAATATTACATCGAGCGTTTAATCACCTTCAACCACAGACTTGTTTGTGGCACCAAGTCAGAAATATTGGTTTTCAGAAGTTTGACTTTGACATTATAACGACGTCACTAACCTTCACTGTGATATGACCTGAACGCACATATGACGAAACTCCTTAAGAATCTGTTTAAACAAAGAATCAAAGTGAAATAAAAAGAAAGACCTCAGTCATCGGTTTAACTACTTGTTCGATTCAGCATCTTTATTCTTACACCTTCAGTGTTTCTCTCTCGTTGAATCACTTCTGACAGATGACACATCCACACGCCAATGTTTATTACAGGATTTGGCAAAAATCAGACGCTTCTCTTGGCGTCGACTTCTTCGACCAACACGTCAACTTCTGCTGGTGAATCGGATTTTTTTTTCTCGTTCTGTTTCCAACTAGTTCCTAAAACAAGATGCTGCAAATCAAGCCGGGTCTGTTAAACAGAGGCCGAGATGCCAACACACATAAACGGGTGTGAGTGTGTTTCACTTCACTGCTGCTGCTGACGTGAGGGACATTCATTGTGTCTGCAGGTGAAATGATGAATGAGACATGGAGACCAGTGGTAACCTTATTACATGTAATCGTACAAATACATCTTATTTTGTTATGAGATTTCAACGTGTACAAAGTTCAAACCTCAATTTCATGCTTCTATTCAATTTGAATTCATTACAAGTGAAGAAAATGTGAGCAGCATTTTAATGGTGGCTGAGGTTATGAATGAGGGAAGACGCGCGGCTGTCAGTGCGTCCCGGACGTTAGTGTTCGTACCTTCAACACGACAAAGTGCTGCCACAGTCACAACGATGAATGGCTGCATTTACATGGGGATTTTATCTAAAGTGCAGTTTGCTTCAACTCTTCACACCCTTCACATGGAGGAGTGGTGTTTTCTCAAATATCTCATGTTGCAGCCTTAAAACTCTGGGCTTCACTGTCACATTAACAATGGACAGTTTTATCTTAAAGCTCAAAAAAAGCAGATGCAGCAGAACCAGAGTTATCGTCTTTTTTATACCACATTACCCACGATGCAACTAACCCACTGACGCCTCAGATTCAGGTGTGTTAAAGTACGACACCGAGTTCACATCTTTTACTTTTCAAACTTGAAGTCTTCAGAACGAACATGATACCAAACTTAAATTAATATTTGAGAGATCTCAAAGTTAAGAGTGTGCAGCGCTAGGAGCTGCATGCTCGCTCGCTAGAGATGCACAGATCTGCTCGATGACATCTAAATCTGCACGTATGCTCGACTCCTCCACCCATCACCCACCCGAAGGATTTATTTTCTCCAGTGTAGAGACACGCACCCACATTCCACTTCACCTCCACTGGTGATAAAAAGGTAACGATTACACTTAAGACGGCTGGTTTGAATTAAACTCACATTTATTGAACTAAATAACTAACGTCACCAGACCCAGATTCATAATAAATAACTGGAGGACATGAGAGATGAATCTGTTCTGTACCAACAAGACCTGTGCAACTTAAGTGAAGGAGCCTGGTGGATGAGAGAGGAGACGTGTGAGTGAATCCCATGAGGTGGCCTCTGTAATGAGCTTGACTTTGACACACACTGACTCTGAGGACACACTGAAGTGGAAACCTTTGACATCACTGCTCGGTGAAAACGCATGGACTTATTTTTCTGGTATTTTGGTGACAGGATGAGTCTGGAGAGATTGAGATGTACTGGGTGTGTTAGTGGCTGAGATCAACTCAACCAATCTGTTTTAAAGTGTGTGCACCACACAACGGTGTGGAGTCGTTGTGGTGAGGGCCGACTGTTCGAGTTCCAGAGAGAGAGCGGAGGGAGGGAGGCTGTCACAAGGTAAATCTGTAAACTATCTATCCCTAGAATACAAAGTTAATGTCACAGGATAAACCTACTTAAAGGTTAAAAGTAATAAAACTATGTCTGGTTAGCCGCGTGCGCTAACACACCCAGTAAATCTCAAGTCTCAGATGCGTCAGACGTCCTGTCACCAAAATGCCAAATGCACAGTCACGCTCCCTGTGACCTGGACGTTTAGGTTTTAATCACATGATCACAGATTCGACAAAACTACCTGTTAACAATGCTCATGGACTGATTCTGTCCTCAGGCCGGGTCATGTTAGCTGTTTCCCTCTGTTTCCAGTCTTTGTGCTAAGCTAACCAGCTCCAGCAGCTTCATACACCTGAATGAGTCGTCTCAGCAGGACTTTAATTTCACGATGAACTGCAGTGTGTGTGTGTGTGTGTGTGTGTGTGTGTGTGTGTGTGTGTGTGAGCTGAAGTCAGGACGCAAACATCTGCTCTGCCTTTTTTTTTTCCCTTCATGCCCTGCCTTCATCTCTCTCTCTCTCTCTGACTCGCTCCTAATCTGTCTATCTTTGCTGCATCGCAACGCTCTGTCGTTGCCATGGCAACAATGGACAAGAACAAAAAGACCTGCTGCTTTTTTTTTTTTTTTTACATCTGCTGCCGTAGCCTCAAATTCAGACAGATGTGGTGATTCCTGCTGCGACGCTCGCTTGTTAGCTACTGAGGAAAATATGACAGACATGTCATCACACACACACACACACACACACACACACACACACACACACACACACACACACACACACCCCTCTCTCTCTCTCATGTTCAGTTATGTTGCACACCCACTGACTTTCTGTCATTCATCTTCAGTCCATGCCAACATCACCACGGCAACCGTGCCACCACGTTGATGCCGTCCCATTGGTCGTCAGGTCGATTCCAGAACTAACAGTGATCGATCCTTTCAACACAACCACTCATCATTGTCGTTACATCTCCATCAGCTGATTGTGTGATCGGTGTGTACTCACATTTCTCTCAGTCGAATCAGGACCTGGTTGTTGAGGTTCTGCTCCACAGCGTCCACAAAGTCCTGCACCTCCTCAATGTGTTGCTGTACCTCCTCTGTCTGCTGCTGCCCCTCAAACTCCTGCACCTGTTCTGTCTGCTGCTCTCCAGTCTGTAGCATCTCCTCAGTCTGCGCCTCCTCCTCCTCCTCATCAGTTTGCTGCAGCTCCTCAACCCTCTGCTCCTCCTCCCTTTGCTCCTGTTCACTCTGCTGCACCTCCACATTCTCCTCCTCCTCCCTGACCACTTCACTCTGTTGCATCTTGTCCTGCTTTTGCTGCATCTCCTCCTCCTGCTGCACCTCCTCCTGCACCTCGTCTTTCTCCTGTTGCACCTCCCCTTCACATTGCACTTCCTCTTCCTGTTGAATCTCCTCAGTCTCTACCGTCTCCTCCACCTCCTGCTGCATCTCCACAGACCATATGTCCTCCCTTTGCTGCTCCTGCTCCGGCAGCTGCGACTCCTCCGCCTCCTCGTTCATCTCGCCGTGGGTGAGGAGGAGATGGAGGTGCAGGACGTCTCTTTAGGACAGTTGTAGAGTTGTGCTCACAGGGCAGAGTTTGGTCTCTGAGGAGCGTCTGGACGTCTCTCAGACGGACACACTTGTGAAAACATAGACGCCGATTACGCCCATTTGGGGTTGATGGAACTTCATTCAACTTCCTGTGATGTCACCTGTCAGCAGGGCCGATCCAACACAATGACCCCTGATACGACCCGTCAGCGGAGCGGAGGGGTTAAAGGTCACAGGACAAAGGTTTCTGATAAGTTGAGAGGCAGGAGACTGACGCCGTCCAGCAACGGTCCAGAAGTAAACAAAGTGATCAGCTGACGACTTCCTTCAGTTCAGCTCTGCTCTCCGGCACTGCGGCGGCAAAATGATCCAGCTGAATGTCCCAGAGCATCGCCGTAGCAACGCACACAGGAAGTCAACCAGCAATAAAGACAGGATGGAGTGAGAGGGAGAGAGAGAGCGCGGGAGGAGAGCAGAGCGATGGAGGAGGACAAAGGAGAAGCAGAGAACATCGCAGAGCGTTTCCGTGGTAACTCAACAACGGTTGCTAAGAGTGATGGAATCCTGCAGCTGACAGACCTGCCTCCTCCTCCCTCCCAGTTTCAAACACACACAACTTTACGCTCCGTTCAGACACAAGCAGCAAATCGGGCTCCTCAGTCTGCCCTCGCTCATCCACTGCATCGGGGTGTGTGTGGTTTTTAGACAATGATGATGTAATGTTCCTGAAAACGAGAGTCACAAAACCTCTCAGTCAAAGAGCAGGACCAGACACAGAAAGGTCCTGCTGGCGCCCTCTAGAGGCCGATATGGTCATTTCAGCCCCAACAAGAAGGAGCCAGATAGAAATACACTTGTTTCTCACTGGTGTATTTCCCATAGCTGCGGCTGCTGTAGCTCTACGGCTGTCGTTCTATGGCTGCTGCCAACTTTGATGTAGAGTTGGTGAATTACAGGCCTCAGCATATGAAGCAGTAAAAACATCCCTGATCATTTATTTTCCCTGAATTATTCAAAGTCTTGTATCCAGGTCTGAACGTACAGAAAGTAGTCGTCTCCGACACACGGGGCAAACTGCCAGTTGACCCAACAACCCTCACTCATCATCTGTGGTTACTGCGTCCTCTGAGGAAACTTCAGACACTACATGTGATGTGGACTCTTTAGGGGGATGAGTCATTTCACTTTGAACCAAAGCAGAAGACAACATCCGTGAGGAAGCTGGTGGAGTTTGCTGCTCTCCACAGAGGATGAGGGCAGATTGTGCAGAGTGGAGCCTGTTTATTCTAGATTTGGAAAAACGATATATGTTTGATTCCAGCTGTGGAGCAACAATACATGAAGCAGATGTTCCCCCAAAACCAGCTGAAGACAACAAACCCTCAGGTCTCCATTCATTCACTCATTCACTCACTCACTCACAAGCATGTGGTCATACTCCTGAACTCACTGGGATCCAAAATCACAACAGATAATATAAATGTCCCATTATTATTTATTCTAAGTTTAGGTGAAGGTTGTGGTTTTAAACTCGTCTGTGAGCACAAACGACAAATACTTGATAAATAGCAGGTAAATCTGAGGTTGAGCAATTATGTATATTCAGGATACACAAGTATTATTACCTCCATCAAGGTTATGTTTTTGTCTGTGGTTAGTTAAAAACTAAACAGGAACAAAAACAACGCTAATTAAAAAGCTGCAAATGAGTCTTGATAGAAAGAGCATCTACAGAAAATCTCTCGTCTCTTTTCTGTCGCTACATTAACGTCCCCGTTATAAGTTGAAGTTAAACAGTTAACCTGCTAACTGACCGGTTAACTAACCCACTGAGCTGGTTGAACAGGTGATTCTGTCTCGTGACGACACTCACCTGAGATAATAACAACATGGCTGCCGTCCATGTCTGGGACGTTAGCATCGTTAGCCTCCTCCTCTCCAGGCTCTTTGCTAATCTAATGCTAATAATAATAATAATAATAATAACAATAATAATAGTAATAATAATAATAATAATAACAATAATAATAGTAATAATAATAATAATAATAATAATAAGTGGACTTCAGTAAAATAAAGTCGACATGTGACGGTTTGTTTTTTCGCTGACGCTGCTTCTGTTTCACCTTTGGCGCTCAACTTCTTCTTCTTCTTCTTCTTCTTCGTCTGTCATTAGTGTAGATGCTTGGTCATGTGATCATCATGTTGACATGAAGAATTAAACACGTGTGTGACCAATGACATGAATGACAGTTTTTATCATTACACATATCACATTGTACAGTTAACACTATATAATTATAGTGAAGTAGGAACAGTGAGTAAGTGATCACACACACACACACACACACACACACACACACGATGAGCCACGGTTGGTGTGCTGGGGCCCCCTGGAGGTTGGAGGCCCCTGTTGGGACGATGGTGTTAATTAAAAAGCTCTTTGTTTTGTTGGTTCTGTTAAATGTTCACGGACAACATCTTTACTTTATAAGAATACGTCTCTCAGAGTCTTTAGATTCATAAAGAGGACGTTCAGGTGGATTCTCACTGATTCTTGTTTGTGTTCTCACTTTGTTGTGATCAGAGGACAGGAGTCAACTCCACGTCAACAATAATGTCTTAAATCTCACCCGGTCTTCACAGCACAGTAATTGGTGGGTCCATGGACACGCCTCCCAATGCTGCACCTGCTCCTGATTGGGTGCTGCAGCCAGCTCACTGATTTGATTGGCTTCAGAGAGTCACCTGATGGAGGGAGAGGCTGCAGTTAGACTTCAAACAAACATGGAAGATTGTTCCGAAGGCAAACCAGCCTCCTCCATGTTGGCAGATGGGTTTGTCGTTAAATAGAGAGGTTACATAAATGTTCGTCGAAGATGTTTCACACAAATATTCGATCGCAGAACAAGTGTCACGGATACTCGGTTGTTTTATGTAGAGTCTTGTTCGGCCTCGTTGCTGGTTTCACTTTACTGAGGTTGTTGGAGCGTCAAACAGTAAATTAAAGGTCACTTAGGACGATAGTGTGGAAGATTTCTGCAGAATAAATGTAATTCTCTTCTCTGTGAACACAACCTGCTGTGTCTTTTCACTCCTCCTGCTCCTCTGAGGCTTTTCTTTCACAAACTGACCCCCCCAAAATTGCAAAAGACGTCAGGCCTAAAAATAGACGAAGCTTGAAAAGGCTGCAGAGGTGAAATTAAAAGGCTGTGAGGCAGCAACCGGGGCAGATTGAGACCAGGACATGAGAAACTGTTCAAATGATTCTACTTTTTGATCTTACTTCTTTTTTTCCTCGAGAAATTACAACAAATATGATTAGATGATACGTTTGTTTTAGAAAATACAACTACATCCCACCAGCTAATTTTAAGATTTCATTTGGTTTTAACTGCTTCGTTTAAAGCAGAAGGTTTTGGAGACTCGTCCACAGGTCAAAGGAAGATAGAAGATATAAAAGACCATAAAAGACCAAAATGGTTGAGTTCAGAGGAGAAGAATCAAACAGACTAGGGTGAAGCCATAACCTCCTCCGTGGACATAATGACGTCAAGCGTCAAAGGAAAAGTAAAAAAGTTGAAATATTAAAAGAAAAGTGGAGAATTAAGTCAAAATGTCAAGAAATTTTAGCATTAAAGTTCAGCTTTTAAAAATAACATTGTGCATATGACCTCTTCTACAAAATGTCTTTCACAGATGGATTAGAGAAACTGAAGAGACCAGACACAGCAGCTTCTGTCCCGGTGGGATTAGGAGACTGTGTGTTCGTGTGTCACTGTCCATGTGTCTCCATGTGTCTCCATGTGTCTCCATGTCGTCCAACACAGCAGCTCTTGTGCTCGTAAACAAACCCTTAAGACAACAGACGGACTGTCTGATTGGCCGGTGGACTAACTAACTGTTAATTGGTTCTTCATAATCAGCATCGACGCTGAAGAGACAATTAAAGATGACCGCGTGGGCGACTCGAGGAGTGTGTGTGGGTGTGTGTGTGTGTGTGTGTGTGTGTGTGTGTTTGTGTGTGTGTGTGTGTTTCATTAATATATTCAGGTCCTTTGTTTTTCAAAAGGCTTTTGAGCTATAAGTAGAAAAACAGGAGCAGAGCTGAGAGACATGTTTATTTTCTAAAGCTCCATCAGAAGCTGAAGAGCATCACGGCTTCGCTTGTTTTATGACAAACTGTAGAAATTGAATCTGTTTTGAGTTATAATTTGTGTCTGAGCTGAGTTTCACCATTAACATTTAATCTACTTTTACTCCAGGAAAAATCCTGAATCTGTAAATACGCAAATATATATATATATTTTTAATTTATTTATTTATAAGATGATAGGTCTGAACGTGTTGTGATGTCATCGTGCAGGTACAGAACCTACATGTGTTAAACGGAAACTGAGCACAGAGAAACTTTAGTCTTCACAGGTGAAATGAATATTTTCAGTATATATATATATATATATATAAAGTTCCAAAATCCAATAATCCAACAAGTGTTTTTGTCACTTTGAAGTAAAAACAGAAAGAGATTTAAAGATCACTTTGTAAATGTCTAAACTTTGACCCAAGTTAGTTTCATTTTACAGGATATCTCTTGATACAGATCGATAAGAAAACCAGGTTTAAGAGTCGGCAGCAAACATTAAATACAATATCAACTTTGTACAATAAATACAAATCAAAATATCCGATCAGAACTAGTTGATGGCTTCATATCTTCTGATCCAACATGAAAATGATAAGTCCATGTTTGACCATGAGACGACATGAGAAAATAAAATGAACCCATGTTGAGTTCGTATCGTTTCTATTGGATGTAAGAGCTGCAGCCGGTGAACGGAGCTGACCTGTCTGAACTGTTGACTCCTCACGTGGCGTCACCGTCACCACCACCGTCCTCCTGTCCAGAGCCGTGCAGAAGGAGCCCATCGTCAGCAGGAGGAGGAGGAGGAGGAAGGAGACTCCAGAGAGACGCAGGACTCTGCACCTCAGTGTTCTTACACCTGATGAAGAGACATCTTCCTCCTGCTCTCACCCACATGCTGCAGCGCTCGGACTGATGCTCTGTCTCTCTGTCTCTCTCTCTCTCAGGAGTGGGTTGATGTCTCTTGTCCTTCAGAGCAGGTTGAAGAGGAGGGTCAGGGTGAGTGTGGACACAATTCTGCTCATTATCATTTAATCCAGAACAGACATCCTGGCTGGTTGGGACGGACATGTCTTCTCTGAGGTCCTGGTTACGGATGATTGTAAATCCTTCCTGCTCATTGACCTTTTCAGTGACAGTGAGAGAAGCTCCGGTGTTTGTGAGACGTTAATGAAGCTGCTCTGTTCCCACTGATTTCATCATTGACACCTGTGACGAGTCAAGACGTCTGCTGAGTCAAAGGAAAGTAGCAGAAATCCAGATTTATTATATATATATTATTAAATCCCCAGAGTTATATACAGTGTATTTATATATATATATAAATATATGCACAGGTTCACCCGATCCAGAATTAACTATAAGATTTATTAAAGATGAATGTCTCAACACACACACACACACACACACACACCTCATTATTAGAATTCACTTATCATAATGAGATTTGTTTACGCTCAGAAATATGTATTATTATGACCCTTACTTTTTAAATGTTGTTTCATTCTCAAAATAAGAAAAGAAAAGAAACAGAAAACGTTCTCACTTCTGTCACTGACATTTTTATTGATTTCTTTAGTTTACAAATAACATTCTTGTTTTTGCCACTGACCTGAAACACTGGATAGATTTTAAACAGAAGTTTAACTTTCTCCACAAAAATATGAATCTAATCGAACAAAACACAGAAACTACAACGAGACTAAACCAAAAGACAGAGAAGACACAAATGAAAACACACAAACAAATCTGGACATGTCAAAACCAAACTCTGTGCACAGACAGAAGAAGAAAGACGGGAGGAAGACTTCTTCCACGTCCAGTTTGTGGTTTCCTGTGTTGAGACGACTCGACAGTCAAAGTGGTTTTTCACGTCAACCTCATATTTTCACGTCAGATTATTTCACCAACACAGAACCAGACCCAGCAGATGCACACTGTAAAAGCACCCTCACATCTTTGGACTGAAAAGTATTTTAAGAACGTAGGTGTGTTTTGAACTGTGGTACTGTGATGAACGTTGGCTCTTCTAGCGTTTGGACCCATTCACTGTCGGGGTTCTGTAGCTCCTCAGCTGCTCCAGGAAGCCGGGGTTGGGGGAGGAGGCAGGCCGAGCCGATTTGACCAATGAGAGGGCTTCGTCGAAGGACTGGCCGTCACATGACATCAGGTAGCCGACGACGACAGACGGTGCCCGGGACACGCCGGCGTTACAGTGGACCAACACCACACCTTTCTGAGGGGAAACAGAAATGGTGATTCTACTTACATGTGTTCTTATCACTTTATATATAACATCATAACATTTAATTATTTTTATATATTTTACACCAATTATACAATTAAAATGATCTTCTGGGAATATCTTTATCTTGTTTGTAGATTTTAGAACAAGTATGATTGTGTATTATTGGGCTCTGTGGAGTCCGGTAGATAATGAAGCTGTGCTGCAGTACAACCCTCTGAACACTAGAGGACGCTACAGACCAACAGACAGTCAGCTGTCTCCACTGACGAAGCTTTAAGTTAATAGATGTCTTGTTTGTTGGTGTTGTCAGATCCTCATTAGCGGCTCCATTACAGCTTCTATCTCCACATGGAAGCAGCTGAGTCAGAGTTCAACCTTCTCATCTGACTCTGAGAACAGAAAACAAGAGCTTCCTCCAGAAGGTCACAGGTTCCACAGACTCATCCACAGACTCATCCACAGACTCATCCACAGACTCATCTACAGACTCATCCACAGACTCAACCACAGACTCATCCACAGACTCGTCCACAGACTCATCCACAGACTCTCTGAACATCTCTGATCAGTATCCATTATATTCATCGAGATCTATTCAGATGTGAAAACAGAATTAAGAAGTGTTCAGAAGTTTAGATGCAAACTTTTGGATGAACAAAAACTAGAAACATGAATTTTATTCCGGAACATTTTGATCTAATCTTTAAATTCTGAAACAAAAACCTGGAAATGTGAACGAGGAGCGACTTTAAAACTTTATTTTTATTATAAACTTTATTATAAACCCGCCCTGCGGTCACGACCTCAGTCACATGATGCTGTTGTCATGACAGCATCAATAACTGATACGAGCCAGATGGCCTGCTGGGTAATGTGACCCAGCATTTCAAAGTAAAAGCATCAGTTTGATTATCAAGGCTGGAATTTCCACATACACACATAAGAACCATATTGTAATGAACACACACACTTCCTGTAACCATACACCTCTAATGACTGTGTGTGTGTGTGTGTGTGTGTGTGTGTGTGTGTGTGTATGTGGGGGGGGGGGGTGTCATGTTAAGGTGAGTCCCAGGCTTCACTGCTAAAAGCTTGTATGACACTGAGATCTGATCTGTGTGCAGCTTAATAAAACATGAACAAAACTACACATCTATTATTTAGAAACAGACGAAGAAGAGCGGAGAACAGAAGAGAGGAAGGAAGAGAGGAAGAGGAGGAGAGGACAACGGAGGAGAGGAAAGAGAGGAGGACAAGGAAGGAAGAGAGGAAGAAGAGGAGAGGAAGGAGAGGAGAGTCATGTCAAGTCCTCCCTCGTTTTAAATCCTGTACATCCGTGTCCTTCTGCCCCTAATCCCGTTGCATTATGGGATTGATTCTTGTTGCTTGACTTAAATCCACTCGTGTGTTTTCACCTGAGCTGCAGCGACGCTCACCTTCAGGATTTGAATTTAAATTTGGAAGTTAATGTTACACTTCCTGCAAGAAGAAGAGCTCCGCTGAGACTCAAGCATCAACACAATATTGATTAATGGGAGTAAAGGAATGAATCGTGGTTTGTGGTGATGTCAGCGATGTTACCTCCGAGCGAGCCTGCTGGATGAAGTCGCAGCATTCCTGGATGTGAAGCAACAGATCAGTGTCGGGAAGATCCAGAATACTGACGGTCTTATAGATGAACAGATCGGGAAAGACGTTCTCCACGCCGAAGGCCACATTCAGGATGTGAGACACCTGGAGGAGGAGGAGGAGGAGGAGGAGGAGGAGGACGAGGACGAGGAGGAGGAGGAGGAGGACGAGGACATCTTGATGAACAGTTATAAAATCAGGACAACAGACAAACAAGAGTCTGACTAACAAGGAGTGATGTCCTGTCCCTAATGCGTCCACAGTGAGACACTTGGACACAGCAGCTCAGAGTAATAACTGTTTAAAAACTCACCTTGTGTTTTCTCAGAGTTCCAAAGTCATGTGCAGCATCCTGCGAACCTACACACACACACACACACA